TTTGTACATATGCTCAGCTTGGTTAGATAGCCGCACACAATGCCTCCCACGATCACCTGTACTAAATGAAAAGGGTTTGGTCGGCTCCTTTCTTCCTTTGTTTAGCTCGTCTTTTCTTCTTTCGCACCGAATGCTTGCTTGAAGCTTGACGACGTCACAAGAGCATCTTTTCTCTCATCTTCGCTTGATCGGCCAGGGCACCAATCACAGAACTGCTCGACAGTCACACTAGAAGCCCCTCGACACTAACGGTAAGTTGACGGCGACATTTTTTAGAGTGAAATTCACCTTCTTGTCTTCCCAACCCTTCCGCTTCATCTCCCATTTCTTCAGCAACCCGACCCTCTCAATTGATCTTCGCTTTGCTCAACTCCTCATTTCCACTTCTCGACTTCTTCATTTGTTCTCCCCCAGGTAACTGAAATGAGATGTCCCAACTTTCGCCAATTTAAAAATAGACTATAAGTCATTTCTCCTCAAGCAGATCAACATGATTTATCTATAAATTTTCTATCGGACTCCTTTCTATAATTTTGGATGTATCACGATGCCTAAATGGATATAATTATAAATTTGAGTTAACTTTTAATTTAAAATTTTTATCGGACTCCCTTCTTGATAGTAAGTAACCATATATAGTTTTCATCAATACATGATAGTAAATAAATATAAACATTCATAATAAGATGACCAATAAAGAAATGAAAAACATACAAATCAAAATAAATTTTGTACAAATATCATCAACTACTAATACAAAATAATTGAGAAGAAACAAAATATTATCATAAATAAAAAAAAACGACCACTCACCTCAATACCATATGACTCGCTTTCTAGATTTCCAATCTTTTATTTTTGACTTCTTTACTTTGATATCTATAAAAATATTTAAATACTTAAGTAGTCATTTTATGCATATATTTATGCTCAATTATTCAACTTAATATATACTAATTCTAGTTATTTATATTTAATGTTATACATGTGTACATATATATTTATATGTAGGCTCAGTAAGGTTTCACCTCAGAGCGAAACTCTACCTGTAATTTCACGCTCGTAGAAGAAGGGGAGTACGCTCCTCTGTCCGTCGTCTGCGCCTGTGCTCGCTGCTCGTTGTAGGGTCGATCGTGTTGTGTCTGCTTGTTGTAGGGTCAATCGTGCTCGTTGTAGGGCCAATCGAACTGCTCCTTTTGCTATGTCAACCACTACGCGCCTGCGCTTCCACGGGTTCGTCGACCCGACGCGCTTCTTCTGGTCGCACCCCATCGTATCAGACCATCTGGTTTCTTTGGATTTTGCATCTGCTTCTTCGGTTGATCCTGGCAAAGCTTGTTTCGCCCACGTGGTGGGTAATCAACTTGCGGAATCTACTATTGTCTTCCCCTCAAGCTATAAGGAATGTCGTAATGGTACGATGATTGACCTTTTCTTAGGAAGATAAGTACGAAGAGTGGGAAAAAAATACTATTTTTCTCTGATTCAGAAATTTCAACTCTAATAGAGAAATTCAAGTTCGCTCGTTTCAGGGGGGGCACCCACTTATAAAGTTATCAGAAAAAGTTTTGATGACCTCAAATTAACAGGAATGTGGAAAGTAGGGCTCATGGATGGGAGACATGTAGTGATTCAGTTAACCGTGTCTGAAGACTACACTCGTATTTTCTCCAAAAAAAAAACATCTTAACATTGTTGGTAAGCCAATGAAGTTACTCAAGTGGTCTCCTGATTTTGACACAAATCATGAGTCTACTACTGCTTCGGTAAGTATTAGTTTATCTGGTCTCAAGTTGCATTTCTTTAATCATCAAATTCTTTATTCTATTGGAGTCATTCTTGGAGATCCTATAAAGCTAGATATGACCACCTTTAACCTAACCAGACCTTCTGTGGCCAGAATACTTGTGGAAAGAGATATTATCTTACATGATATTACTGAAGTCTGGCTAGACACAACTCACAATGGATATTGACAACCAATTGTCATGGATCATAAACCTTTTTATTGTAATCACTGTAAGATGTTTGGATATACTCTTGATAAATGTCACTAGCATCATCCAAACTTGAAAACTATAGCTCAAGGAAACAAAGAGGGGTCTAACCCCAGTGCTATGGACACATCTGCTCAATATGTGGAGGAGGTTCCCACAAGACAGGATTTGGTGTCTGATTTGTCTGTCGATCCCCCCTTGCCAATATTGCAGTTCCTGATGAAGAACACCGTACTACAGGTACAAATCCAAATGTGTTTATACCACTCACTGTTATAGAAGAGAAGAAGACCCACTTACATGTCAACTCACTTATATGTCAAGACACATGAGAGTGCTCCTTTGATCCGATAAAAGATCAGCTTGTACAACAAGTAGTTGTTTCTAATATTCAACAACCTACACATGTCCGACGCACTTTAGACCAAGCGAGCCAATTTTCGGATGAGAAATGACAAGTCTATTCCAGGAGAAAGAAGAAGAATAAAGGCAGACCCGAGCTCGAAAATTTATTGGATGATACACTGGCTACTACTAGCAGTGACACCCATCTCACCAATTTATTACTTTGGCTCCTTCCCAAGAACTAGAAGCAAAGACAAGGCAAAATTGAGCCTTTAGTTACATGATAATCCAGATTTTAACACTTTTTTTTGGTTTTTTCTCTTCTTTAGGTCTCTCATGTATTTTTTTTGTTTTTTTTTTTTGAACCATTTGCATATGGTGGTTGTCGTCTGGGCAGGGTGTCATGTTCGGACCCTCTCGCACAATCTATCTGTATCCTACTTTCTTTTTAATATATTAGCCATTGGGCTTTCTTAATATATATTTATATATATATATATATGTGTGTGTGTGTGTGTGTGTGTGTGTGTATCTATATGTATATTATTTATGAAGTAGTTGAAATAATTCCAAAATAAAAGTTACCCTTAAGCTTACCTCACTTAATCTTAAATATAATGAAACATATTATATAATTAAGAATAATATGAAATTCATAATTTTATATTTTAAAAACACTAAACTCGATCCAGAGAGCCATAAACGTCCGCTTGTCCACTTTTTCTACTTCAAGCATGACAATCCTTTCTTGAGCTACAGCTTGGCTCGGATCGATAACCGCACACAATGTCTCAGCTTAATTCTTCCTCTATTCTACGTACAACTACATGCACCCCTCTTCTCGCGATTACCTGCACTGAATGTGTAGGATTTGTCTAGCTTCCTTCTTCCTCTGTGCTTGGCTTGTCTTCTTTCTTCTTACTGATTGCCTACTCCAAGCTTGACAACATCACAAGAGCATCTAGCTATAGTAATTGAAATTGACAAAAATTATCAATTCCGTACAACTAATTATAGTAATGAATGGTATTTAAAAAAAATTAATGAACTGCTTAATGTAGCAATTAGTATGCTATTAAAAATGATTCTAAGAGGATGTGATATCAATTGACTACGATTGCTAGCAACTACAACGAATCATAAAATAAAAAAAAATTGACTCCAACAATGAAGAGTATCAAATGACACCAATGCAAAATCGTAATTGTTGTTAATATACGCTAAATAATTAGTGTTATAATGATTATTTAATCAAAATTGTTCTCCTATTATCAAAAGAGGAAATTAAATGAAGAGTACAAATGACACCAATACAAATTCGTAATCGTTGCTACTATATGCTGAGTAATCAGTGTTATAATGACTATTTAATCAAAATTGTTCTCCTATTATTAAAAGATGTAATTAACTGTAGAGGCGTGCACCTATGAGAAATCTCGAGCCCTAGATCAAAAAATTTTGACCAAATGAGGACAAAATATTTGGATAGTGTCTTATCTACACCCTAATATATCTTAATTTTGATCCTAAACCCATTGTAAAAACTCTCAACATTTTGAGATGGACCAGAGCGCAAATTTTCAAAGCCCGCTAACCTTTTACATCAATTGGAAATGTTGACATGCGTGATTCCATATGCTAACCTCCTCTATCAATCGAAGATGTTAACATGTCACATGCAAAGCCTTACCAAACAAAGCTTGATTGAAACAGTTTTCGTTAGATCATATACTTTTCAGTTTCTCCAAACTTTTTTTACTAAGATTCAGCAGCTGCCCGTTAACTATTGGGCGGAATAACATTATTCAAATAAAATTAGGCATTTTTCTCAAATAAGAATCTAAGAAATAAAAATTCTTATCAAGAAGGCATTTGAAAAAGTAATATATCCTAGTGGTAATTAAGAGCATCATCAAATGAATAAAATTAAAACCATCAAGAAAATAATTATTTACTTGTTAGTCATATCATTAACATTCTCTCATCAACTTACCTAATCATTCATAATTAAAGGTTTATAACTATTTTGAGGACAAAATAATAGATAATTAAACATTTTTAGTATATATATTTACTTTAATTTTCTTTTAAAAATTAATTGTAAGGACAAAATTAATCAATTTTATGCAGTATTAAGTGAACAGGTAATTATAAGTTATTTTACTTCTGCACAGATAGCGAAGGATCAACCTTCAGCCCATCGTTACAGAAACAAACGACTGAAAAAAATGTGCGCAATGTTCCCAGAAAAACGCATTGCATGTAATAGCTTCTAAAATTTTAGCTAAATGCTAGAAAGAAGAATGCCTCAAGTAAAGGTCAGCCTTCACTCGAAAGAGTGCCATGTGTCCAGTTGTACGCTGGGCATATACATACATACCACACAGCTCTCATGTATTTACATACATATCTAACACCTAAACATTCATATTTAAAGGCATAGTACTCAAATATTTAACATCGCATCAAAAGTACCACTAACACTATCTTTTCAAAAGTGAAATACACCTTTTCATAGATTAAGTTATGTCACTAAGATGGTACAAGTGCAAATATCAAACTTTGGGTGTTAACACGTAAATACAAAAGAATTGTGTGGTCTGTATGTAAATTTTCCAAACAGAAATTATGGTTGAAAAAAATCAAACATATACACACCTCAGCTTCAATTTCATCATAGAGAAAACGCTGTTTAAGAATGGTCAGAGCATACTGAGCAGCATCATTGTAAATATCAAATGGCATCAGAATGCTTTGAAGTAGACTTGGATCTTGAGATTCGATCACATTATCCACCAACATCCACGGAAGGGAGCATTCAATTGGAAACTAAACAAAAAATAATCAAAGTTAGTTATATGCCATAAAATAACTGTAACAGACCCGGCACTTTATCAATGGACAAAGGAGAAGAAACAACTGTACTGATCTAAAATCATCATAAGGAAACCTAACGAAATTCATGTCTCTCTCTCTCTCTCCCCATCAAATTCTCTTTCCAACAATCCGTTCTCTTCTGAGTTTAAACTAATCCTATTCCTTTTTCCACTCTTTCTCTCGCTCTAACCAGGCATTCTATTTCAACAAATGTCTCTCCGCTCCATCTAAAAAAACTTATGGTCTATACGGTAACAGATTTAACTAGAATTTAAGTAAGATCTTGTGAGAAATAAAAAAATGACAATTTTAAATCGAGCATTTAGTAAATCCAATTTCTTCTCAAATATTTTTTTTTTGGCCGAATTATCCAGATTTACAAGATTTACTAAAGCTTAGAAATCCGTTACCATATGCTCCCATGGTATTTTCTCCCTTCCTGGTTTCTGCGTAAAAACAACTTTGCATCTCTGCCATGCATGGTAACATTTCAAATTGGGACAAATGAAGCATAATAAATTATTTGTCAGGATTTATGCTCATTTAAATTATAATTTTAGATTATTAAGCCCAAAACACAATACAATTAGAAACGGAAATATTATTGTTGAAATTCCGATGGTTACAACCACACTGGGAAATAACAACAAAAGACACAATACATACACTGCCAGTGGGTGCAGCCCCAGATGTGACGACAACGGGTTTTGGAGTGGAGGTGGGATACGGTAGTAGGGTGGCAATAACAAGGGCTGAGGGTGGTATGGGTTGTGGTTGGAGCAGCTGGAGTGGGGAGAACTGGAGAGGTCGGCCGGGAAGAAGCGGGAAGTTGTGTGGCAGTTGGGAGGAAGGCAAGAAGGCCTTAGCGGAATCAGAGAAGCAGTAGGCAGTCTTTGGCGGCTGCTGGGAGACCAGTTGGCGGTAGCTAGGAGAGTGGTGTAAGTAGGAGAGGATAATCACCTCCTGGGGAAAAGGATATAGTCGGAGCACCACCCTATCCGTCAGATACAACCCTAGAAAGGGGAAACATGACATCAGCAGCTGTCCACTCAGAACTGAAATCAGAAAAAAAATATAAAATTAAACCCTCAAACACAACATTGATATAAATACTAGTAGATATGTAGAAGAGGGACCCCCCTTTTATTGGGCAGCAATTCCAAGACTAAGGGTTGGCCTACCTTTCCCTTTCTCAATTGAACCGGCTCAAGCCAGACCGGTTCAGTAGGGGAGGAAAATCCCCATGTCATTCTCTCGGGGTTTGGGGAGCTTTGACCTCTTTTGTTGAAGTTTCTGGCCGCACATTGCTGGTGATGGAGCCATTGTAATCTTCCAGGATGGACAGATCTTCAACTGTCTTCCTAGTAGGACTTGGATCCCACTGTCTACTAAAGCATTTTGCTCCACTTGCAACCGTACATCCATATCAGTCCACTCTCCTAGGACTGCGTGCCCCGTATGTCCCGCTGAATCTTCCCAAAGTAACCACTGGTCGATTCAATCTGATGTGCTGTGTGAATAACCCAAACCTTCCTGCACGGCTTCAAGTGCCCTGGTAGGTCAATCAAATAGTGCTGTCGTTTAGGAAGGGGTTTGGGGTACGGCAGATGGGCTGAAGAAAATATGCTTATGGACTAAAAACTTTGCCATAATTTTCTTATAAAAAATGATTAAATTGTCTTTAGTAACAAATAGTTTTAATCACATTATAAATACACCTATTTTTCCAAATATCTGATTATGAGGTTTATTACTCACAATTAAAAAAGATTAATTATGTAATTCTAATTTAGTATATAATGCACTAACTTTAAAAGTACAACAATAACATAACCTATATGCGATGATATAGGCAATATATATGTAGCACTCCATTTTTAATGAGTGGAAGAAACAGGTCACGACGGGGATAGCTCGATACCTGATTCGTGAGAATCCTCGTCTATCTACAGTTCGAGCTCAGGGTGTGCAAAGGCAGATGGGTACCTATTATATCAAAATGTGCTTTGAAGCGACAAAGCCTGACTACCAACACACTTGAAGCCGTGCAGGAAGGTTCGAGTTGATGGCTGCGAGGTCGGTTAGGAAGAGGTTTCGGGTCTGTTAAGTAGGGTGAACAACGAGAGTAGCTACAATAAAAAGGGTTGTTGAAGGCTAGTACGTAATCCAGACGGCTGAGATAGCCCAACTGAGGACAGTAATGGAGGCGGCCTGAAGCGGGAAGGATCAGGTGGTGGAAAAGAAATAGAAATGTGAGAGAAGGTGTTCAACAAGCTGAGAAGGGTTCTGGATAGCAGGATAGACCGCTGAAAAAGGTTGGCTGAGTGCTGGGAAGAAATCTAGGAAGTTGGACAACAAGGTTAAGTTGTTCAGAAAGGGTGGCTCGGTGCTGGGATGAAGTATTGGGAGGTCTACTGCTGAGGAGAGGGCACAAGTAGTGTTAGGTAAGGGCAAAACGGAAGATACAACACCACATTGGAGTAGAATATAACCAGAGTACCACTACCTCCTCGGATACAACCCATGAATAGGGAGCACAATTCCACAAAGAATTTTGAAATCAACACACAGCAAAAACTAAACCCTAAAACACAAAACATTCATATAAATACTAATAGATATGAAGGAGAAACAAGACCACCTCTTATTGGGCGTCAATTCCAATATGAAGGGCCGGCCGACCCTATTACTCTCTCAGCTGAACCGGTTCAAGCCAGACTGATTCAATAGCAGAGGAAAAACCCATGTCAGTTTATTTTACATTCAATTATCAATTTGGATAATTTTAAATTTAAAATTTGAATTAGTTTAAATAATATAATTTTGGTTTCTAAATTAATTTTATTTTATAACTATATTTCTATAAATAAGTGAATCAACCAGCAGGCTCCAAAAATTTCAAGCCCCAAAATCTCACATCGTTGATGAGAGCTTAAAATTTGGTGTTTTAGGTCAAATATTTAGAAGCGGGAATAGATTGCAGTAAGACACTACCAGAGGTTTCACCTTCATTTTGTGAGGATATTTTGATAATGGGTTCGAAGTTTCCCATAAGCACAAACCCCTATTGTTACCCCTCCTGATGATGGGAGAACACTTTCGATTAAAGCGTCATTAAGTATAAACTATTCAGCATATAGAAGTAACAGATTTAGAGTTTATATCATAAAATTTATCACCTTAAGCTTAAAGTAGATGGTGGAGAAAACAAAAACAAATCCAATCAAGATCTCATAGTTTCGTCATCCCGAGCCATCGTCGTAGAGGTACTCCACCAAACCTAACTAAAAGATCTTTGTCAGCAACCATAAGTCGAGTCATCTAAGGTAGCTTTGTAAATCTGAGGCAGATGTTTGTCTAAGGTAAGACATTTAAGATGATCTTAACCGATAAAAAACTTTATATCAATCAAATATATTCTTATGACTCATAGCTTAAAGAGTAGAATGCCATTGGATAGCATACGGGTTGCAGTCGACTCTTGCCGGCTAACCATCACATCAGCGAGCTTTGTTCGTAACCGCTATTTTTTGGGAGTCATTGGCCAAAAATAAGTGGACAGAGAACTCATGTCACATTCTTACCAGCATGAGATTGCTTTGTGTGTGAATATACTGATACACTCAATATAACATTTACTCTTTTTGAGTTGAAATCAATAAAAAAATTATCACCCCCAATAAACTATTGTGGATTGTAGATAGAGTTTGCTTAAAATTTTGATGTGATTGATTTTAACTACAACATTTTAGTTTGTTATTTTGAAAACATGATATAGAATATGATTTAAAAGTTGAACCATTCGTTTGAAATCATCAATCAACATGACCAACAACAGGGAAATAGACTTTAGAACACATGTTTATAATTTAATTGAAATTTATCACTTGAATATTTCTAAATTATTAGTTTTATCAAATTTAGACATTATGAAGCGGAGGATCAGATTAGGTCATTTGGACTTACAAATTCATATATTTATAATTTAGAGATTATTGAAAATTATTAGGCTTGTCAACTACAATCTTTAAGAGGAGGATTGGATAATTAAGTGGGACTTACAACACTGTTTTATAGACAGGGTGGCTCGATCGAAAGCTTGTATAATTTAATTATTTTGAATTTGATTTCAAAAAAATAAATTTTACAACTTTAAGATAAGTGTAACATTTTGATAAGGCAATTTGTATAATTTAAAAAAAAGAAAGAGCATATCAAGTAAAAATTTTATTTGAATCCACACAACATTCCTAAAGCCTATAAGTTTAAACAATCGGTCAATTTAATGAAACACATGAGCACATAAGGGTAAATTATAGTTAATGTTGAGCTAGCCATAACATTCTTAGATTATTTGTTCAATTTAGTTGGACCACATTCGGGCCTTCAATTTCATATATTTGGACGCTTGAGAAATCCATGCATACTTTTTAAATCGAGTTGCACATTCTTATAACAAAATATTTCAAAATAATTTTATATTTGTCCTTATAGCGTTTTCAAGCCGAACAAATGTAATTGCTTAATACGATTGTTGGAGCCCATGCAAATATTCTTCGCTAATAATGTACATGCATTTTGATATAATTGTACTGCTTTTGCTACACTTTTAAAAATGTAGTTACATAATTTTTGTGCTCTTATAAAATGTAATGCAATATTTGAAAGTACTAGCACATATTATGAGGTGTTATCTTAGATTTGAAAGAGATCTAAAAATATGAGTGATAGACTTAAATTATTTAAATTTAGAAATTGCACTCATATCTTATTTTTAAGATGCATGCACAAAAGGTCAACACAGTAATGAAGTAAAAAGGGTAGAATGATTAAAGAGCACGGAGAAAAAAACGCACTGAAAATAAAATATCTCAAACACAAACATGTGAACATTATTCACTCAACAAAAAACAAAATAAATAAACTAATTAATAATAATAATAATAATAAATAAAAATCCTAAGTTTAAATATTTAGAAGCATGTCCACGCCAGAAACAAAATGTATGAAAGTGCACTTGGGCTACCTTTTAAAACAATATTCAAATGGGGCATTTCCATAAATGCCACGCAATACGTACGTAATTACATATCCAACACTTAAACTTTTTTTTTTACATTTATGCTACCCAAATATTTTATACCACAACAAAAATACCACCATTTTAACTTTTAAAAAATGAAATACAGTTTTTCATGGATAGGTAAGATGGTATATGTAAAAATTGAAGTTTAGGTGTAAGACATGTAACTATATAAAAATAGAGTGGCATATATGTAAAGTTTTCCTATTTAAATACTAAATGAGATTTTTTTTTAATTCTAACAAAAACAGTTAACAGCTTCAAGTGGACTATGGTGGGTGTCCACATCAAATGCCCCACAGAATGGATGTTACTTCTCCATTTACATAGTAGGAATGTAGAATATCACAAAAGATCTCCTTATACTTCCACGCAGTTCTAAAACAACCGAGACTAAGGGCTTGTTTGGGAGCACTTCCATTTCGATTTTTTTTATTTTATTTCAAGTGGACTATGGTGGGGGATGCCAGGCTGAACCGGCTCAACCAATTCGACAATAAGGTAACGGTCCAGCAAGGACTGCTGTTGGTCGGGAATTGCCGACCCACCCACCCTCTCCTAATTACCTTATTATAAATATTTTGCATGTTGTTTTATGGTTATGTTTACCATTCTAATTTCATATTTTTGCCTCCAAGAGTTTTCCTTTGCCAGGGTTATATCCAATGACAGGTGGGCTCTTGTTGTATCTTCCTCTGAGGTGGTGATTATCTCCACTGAATCATTCACATCTTCCCTCTCTCTACTCGTTGCCCCCTTGCCTACACCCCTTCCAAATCAGCCACCAGCCGCGGGACCCCAAATCTCCACCTCTGCTCCCATCCAACCGCAAATCTCGCTCCTGCTAGCCAATCCTCACCGCAAGCCCATCTTCCTATCACACTTACTGTTGTTAACATCCTCCCTGCCTTTACGTTCCTGCAGATTGCCCTCCTCCAACCACCACAAACTCCCCCATCTGTTTCCAGTCGCCCACCACTAAGCCTCTCCCCTAATTCTTGTCGCCAGCCACCAAGCCCTCGTCACCGCTGTCCACGGATATTCCTTCCTAGCCCTAGTCGGATATTGGTGTTTTATCATGTTTTCTTTTCTATCTCAGCCTTGATTAGACCCCTATTTATTTTTGAGTTTAATATTTTCTTCCGCTATTGTGGTTTGGGTTAACGCTGGTATCAATTTGTTTTAAAAACACTCAAAATACCTAAAATTTATTTTGAGCATTTTCAAAAACAAATATGTTATAACATACAAAACATATTTCATTTTAAATTAAAACAAAAATAAAAACAAAAAATTAAAAACAAAAATCATTCCAAATACCACCAAAATTTATAATATCCCACCGTCATTCAATCCATTTTGAAGAAAAATATCCCAGAAGTTAAAAGCTAACAGTTCATATAACAATTCAGAATTACCACCATAAGTACCAAAATGTTATGAGAGGTCACAACATAAGAGCCCACAAGTTTTGGTTACAAAACTATATCTGAATTACGTTGATCTGCTACACTGGTAAACAGTTGAAAACCCTAGCCTAAAGAGGGGCCCCACCCCAACAAATAACTGAGATGAGCTTTAGTATTGGGAATTTTTGAACCTTCTCAAGAGGAAGATTGGAGAACATTAATGGAATATTCTACCAAAATGTTTGTTGCTATAAAATGACATCACAAAAAAATAATATGATTAAAACCCTAAACATATAATGAAAAAAAAGATGCACGAACTTTACCTGGATAACACGAGACGATTCCAAATAGAATTCCCTAAACCAAAGAAATCCAAGGTCCATCAACGCACTAATCGTGGCTGAAGTTAAAGCATAATAAAATATAAATTAGTACATAAAAAATTATTCAATCCGAACTTCATCAATACAAAATTTTGGATTAACTCTGCTACAAGCTTTTAAAATTTCATTGTTAAAGGCGAAGCCTAGAGAAAAGTTTACAACAACATATGATAAATATCTAGGACCGTTTTCCCTCAAATAAGTTATACAAAAAGATCGAACAGAAAGACTTAAAATTTTTACTCAAAGAGCTATGTAAGACGAGGCATTTTCAAGGCTTATGCTTTCAATATTAAAATTTTATCAAGAAAAAAAATACATAATAGCTTGTTCCATTATGCTACAACAAATTGTTGTAAATATTTTTCTAAGGAAAAGTATAGTAATTAGATAATGATATTAGGACATCAAATATAATTATTAAGAAATGATAAAGCAAAAAAATAGTACAACCAAGGTAGAAAAAAATAAAATAACATGAAGCTTAACAAAAATAAAAGAGTGAAATCTTTTATTTACTTGAAAATCAACATTGTAAATGTTGCAATCGAATTCAAATGAATATTTTAATAAAAATCCATTGTTTTTTTCACAAATAAGAAGCAGTTGGCATTTTAAGAACCTGCAAAGATTTTAGTAAAAAATTCAATAGGAGAAAATACCAAGAAAACAGATGAAATTAGGGCTATCAAAACAGATTGTTGAAAGGAAAAAGAGAACGCCGAAGGCTGTCCTGACAGCAATCCCAACGTAAAAACTATTCCTAACACAGAGGAGGTAATATATAAATAATAGTAGATAATAAAAGTTGAGTTTTTCCCAGTCGCGAGTAAATAACCATGTCGGTCCAACCCTACTGAGCTGAATTGAGATTCTGCGCAATTCTCAAAAAACAACCCAAGGTTGGTTCAACCCAATCTAAGGTGAGGTCAGTCTGAATCTCTTTTAATGATGACGGCCAAGGTGGTAAGCTAGCGAATAAGATGTCCTAAACTCTCCGAATATTGTTTTGCCCTATTCTTTATACATTGAAGCGAAAAAAAACCATTATGTATTGCATTACAGTCAGCGCTTTGGAAACACTAATTCCAAACAGGAATCCAATTCAAACATAGTTCTATCCAAAATTTAATTCCGAATCGATCAATATACTGTTTGATTTTAAGCATAAGATCATAAATGAAGCTTCACTAAATATGAGGAGGCTCACAATCACACCAAAAAAAATAAACATTTAAATCCATACTAACACCTAAACTTCAATTTTTGCGTGCAAACCACCTTACCTATGCACGAAAAAAGTGTATTTCACCTTTTAGAAGTAAAATCATAGAATTCTGGATGTGGTCTGAGAGATTTGATTGTTATCAATGTAAAAGATAAAATTTAGGAGTTAGGTATGTCAATATAGGAAATAGGTGTTCGGTATGTAATTGCCTCAAAAAAAAAAATGAATACCAATTAATTCACTGCAGGGCAGTGGAAACACTGTTCAAAGTGCAAGCGTTATCAAAACAAACCTGTATAATCTAAAATATGTAGAAAAAAACTGAGCTTGTAAAAGAACGTCTCTAATCGCTTGAGATCATCAACAGCAATTCCAGAACCACTGTTTCCAAAAAGACCTCCATGTTTTCTTAAATTGCCACCAGAAACAAGCTCACAGATCAGAAATTGCAGACAATGAACCTAAACAAAAGATTTATAGCTCAAATTATCAAAGTGAAACAAAAAAACATAAAAATTTTGAAATTCCCATCTGCATAAGACATAATGAGAAAAAGAAAAGAAAAAACTATATAAAATCACAAATCAAATTCCGACGTACACAAAAAACAAGCTCGCAGATCAAAAATTGCAGACAATGAAGCTAGAAAAAAGATTTATAGCTCAAATTATCAAAGAAAAATAAAATGTTGATTGTAAGATTTTTAGAAATTTCTTCTTTTGGTATCTTCTATGTTTATTATTATTTTTTACTAGTTTCTACTTTTAGAATTATCTATTAGTGATAATTTATATTTTCTTTTTTCTAACATGGGGATTTTGTGGCTTTCCTAATGTGGTGGCCTTATTTATCTTGTAAAAAAATCTTAGGAAATTAAAAAGGAATGATTATTTTTCTTTCTCCCAAAATACATTGTATCAGAGCTAGAGTTCCTAAAGTCTACAGTAGAGGTGGCGATGCCAACCTTCTCGCATTCAAAGCATCAACTTTCTCCCGCTCATGATCGTGAGGATGCCTGTGAAAGAGGTAGCCCACCAAAAAAGTTGCTCGTGACAGCTTACGACGTGATTCTCTCAAAGATGCTATGAAGGCACGATCAAAGTAGGAGCTCCGCGAGCTTCTTCAGTTGAGGTTGCTTCAGTCTATCCCATCGAAGCCACTTTGAAGGCCCGGTCAAAGCAAGACCTCATCGAGGTTGCTTCAGTCTTTCCCATTGCAACCAAACATGCGATTGATCCACACTATCTTCAATGTATCCAGTGACCGCTCTAAACCTGAATCTCCATGTTCGTCTCTCATACGCACTAGTCGCAGACTTCGCATGATTTGAATGCTCCGTTCAAACAAAGAAAAAAACAACGACCAAGTTATGCGGATCATTTGAATGCTTCGTTCGATTTCCAAGGATCATTTCTTCTGCAGATCATTTCTCCTTGTGGTTCGGGTGCGTTCACTAAATTAGTAAACTAATTTAGTTGAACACTCAAAAAATAATATCTCTCCAATCTTGATTGTTCAACCTAAAAGTCCAAGCTATGGTATATCATGAGAAAGTGAGTTTTTATATATTACAAATGAGTCAGATCATCCTATAGTGACATCTCATGATGGTCATAATCCTATAACAACTAACAAAAAGGAAAAATTAAAAAGAGCTACAACATTGGTACCATTTAACATTGTCTACTCGTAACAAAGGACAAATAAAAAGAAAGAGTTCATGAATCCTTTACACAACCTAAAATTCAGGAACCCTTTCGGTAATATCTTAAATAGGCCTATACCCTAGAACCAGGCTCTTCATCTTCGAGTTCTAAGTCCTGTAGTCTTAAACCTGAGTCTAACTCTAATCATAAATCCAATTAATCAGTATTCTCATTGCTACTTGTAAGGGGGTGAGGTCTTACATCTAACATCCTTGTCTCATTATGTGTCATATGAAAATCTCTAACCCATTTTCGGGCTTTTACCTTACATTTGTCTTGTATATAGATTCATAATATTGTGCAGGATGTTCTGAAAGTTCTTGAGTGGAAAGAGGTTGTCTTTGAGGATAAGAAAGCTCTAGAAAATAATAGCACGTGAAAATTGATTGATCTACTGAGAGGAAAGAAAATTAACATATGCAAATAGTGTTTACAGTCAAGTACAATTTTGATGGCTAACTAGAACAGTACAAGGCTCGACTGGCTACAAAGTGATTCACCCAGACATATGACAATTATTTATATACATTCGCCCGAGTCAAAAAACTAAACTCTATAAAAGTTCTTCTCCCACTTGCAGCTAATCTTGACTGGGCCCTATAATAGTTGGATATCAAATATGTATTTCTCAATGAGAATTTCGAGGAAGAAGTGTATATGGATGCACCTCCAAAATTTAGTGAGAATTTCAACACAAAGGTGTGTAAACTATAAAAAGGTCCTTACAAGGCTTAAAGCAATCATCGAGAGCGTAGTTTGAGAAATTTATACTGTTTGTTAAAAGTTAAAGGAATACTGTAATGCAAGAAGATCATACAATATTCTTCATACATTCAAAGGATAGGAAAATAGCCATATTAATTGTATACGTGAACGATATAATTATCACTGGAGATAATGCATATGAAATGAACTGTCGGAGACATTTCTTTAACATGAAAGTCGTTGGATCGAAGAAAGGGATGGTAGTTTTCCAACGAAAGTGTGTTCTTCATCTTCTAAAGGAAAAATAGGATGAGTGGTTGAAGGTTTGCAGATACCCCAAATGATCTCAATCAAAAACTAAGAGATAGAAAGGAAGGTGAACCAGTGAATACAACTCGATATCAAAATTGGTGTAAAAGTAGATATACATATCACTTAAACGATAATTTATCGCTTTTATTGTGAGTTATCTAAGTCAATTTATACATTCGCCCTATAATAAACACCTCGAAGCAGTTAACAATATTCTCAATTGCCGAAAAAGTACACCAGACAAGGGCATATTGTTTCAGAAGACCACACAACAGAACATAGAAGCATGCACTATGCCATTGGGCGGGCTCATTGTTGATAGGAGATCAACTTTCAAATACTATACTTATGTCCAGGAAAATCTAGTTACATGGCGAAGGAACAGAATGAGGTAGCAAAGAGTAGTGCCAAGACAGAACATCAAGCCATGGTTAATGGAGTGAAATATTATGGCTGAAGAGAATTCTTAAAGAGCTGCGGATCTCGATAACATGTCAAAGAAGTTGTACTATGACAATAAAGTTGTCATGAGCTTTGCAGAAAATCCAATGCAATATAATCTCACAAAACAAGTAGATATTAATAGAAACTTCGTAAAAGAGAAAACTAATTGTTGAGCTATTTGCTTGTCTTTCAATTTGACAGTGCAACAAATTGCAGATATCTTCATCAGTGGATTTTTCAAGCTTGGTCTTGAATTCCTTGTAAGCAAGTTAGGCATGATAGATATCTATGCTTCAACTTGAGCGGAGTATCGAAATTTTAAGAATTTATGCTTTTGATATTTTCTATTTCTATTATTTTTTATTTTTAGTAGTTTCTATTTTTAGAACTATTTATTGTTAGTAATTTCTATTTTCTTTTTCTAATATTGGGATTTTGTGGCTTTCCTAATGTGGTGGTCTTCTCCTACTATTTATCTTGTAATAATGTCTTAGGAAATTGAAGATAAACAATTATATTTCCTTCTCTCAAACTTACAATAATCATAATTGACATTCACATGTTACATATTGCATAATAAGAAAAAACTGTGTAAAATTAGAATCAAATTCCAAAGTACAACCTGGGCAGCAGTAAGTGCAACCGGTCTTGGATAAAATATATTCGGTCTAGACATTTCTCCTTCTTGATGTGAAACATGCAGTTCAGCATCATGCTTGTTTGTATTGGCCATCCAATCCGCTGAAAGTGTACGCATATCAGAAAGAATCCTATAAATTCATAAAATGATAGGAAAAAAATGTGTTAGTTGTTGTGGGCATAAAGCGATCCTGGAAACTTTAGATGTTAGAACAACAATTCTATTAGCAAGTAATTTTCACAGCTTCTACAATTTTATCACACTTGCAAACAAAATTTGAAATAAAAATGGCTTAGAAGACGTAGACAACAATATTTCAACATGATGAATCAACGAGAAAAAGAACTTAGTTTTATAAATTGTGAGACATAAGAAAGAATGCACGATAATACAATAAAAACATTCAAGTCATCCACATAGACAAAACTAAACGAAAAAATCAAGAAGCATGTAAATTGCATGAGATTAATAGCATATTCAAGCTTAGTTTTGCATTGCAGGCATAATAAATATCAGGTATGAATGTAATACCACATAGGCATCAATCACATACTGTTAAATTTGCCTTCAACAGAAAGCAGTTTGGAAACAACATTGGCAATAAGTCTGAACAAAAACATAAAAAAAAGGAATATAACAACACCATTGTTAATTTAGTCGTACAAGCATAAAAAAACGGACGCGGGATCTTGACCACCACGAAGAAATGTCTGCGACCGAGCAACACCCGCATGTTACATGGACTGAACCAGTCCAGGTTTTGTTCTCCTGAGGTGTTCCCCGGTCCTCTTGAGCCACTCTTAGTTATCCGATTATTATATTTACTTTCGTAGGAGTTTAGGATTAGTTCTTTGTGTATTTTGTATTAGGGCAGCTGTCAGTATTTCTTTTTTACTTCGAGAGTTGTATCCAAGGGTCCAGGTTGTGCTCTAGTTGTATCTCGCTCCTGAGTTGGTGCTTATTTTCCCTATTCTCCTTCTGCATCCTCCCTACATTGCTCCTAGCTGCCCTTTAACTTGTGCACTCAACATACCGTTGTTTTTCCCTGGAATCTCTAAAGAAGTAATTGCTCTGGAAAACCTTATTCTATTCATTAACCACTTGGGTTTATATAGGATCTTACAACATTTTACAAATAAATCCCGAGACTTCTTCTATATTTCCTATTTGTAATTAGGAATCTAAATTAGATACAAATCTCAACACTTCCCCTCAAGATGGGCAAAAGATATTCACTAAGCCCGTTTTGTCACATAATCTAATGAGCTAAGTCCTTTTGTGAAACAGTCAGTCACTTGTTCTCCAGTGGCAACATGATGTACCTCCAGTTGTCTGTTATTCAGCTTTTCCTTGACATAGAACCAATGAATCTCCACATGTTTGGATCTATCATGTTGCACAGGGTTGTTGGCAATGCTAATTACTAACTTGTTGTCGTACCACAACTTTATTTGAGCTAATTTATTCACCTTAAGCTCTACCAATAAGGTTTTCAACCGCATCATCTCGGCAATTCATAAGGCCATGACCCTATATTCAGCCTCTATTGCTAACCTCGCTACTACCGACTATTTCTTACTCTTCCACGTGACCGAGTTGACCCCTACGAACATGCAGTATCCAGATATGAACTTACTGTCATCAACACAACTCACCCTGTCAGAATCACAATACCCCTCAATGCCTACAGGTACATTCTTCCTAAAAATCAACCCCTTTCCTGGTGCACTTTTCAGATGCCTTGGAATCTGACACACAACATTCATGTGACCCTTCCTCGGATCATGCATGTAGCAACCCACCACAATTACTGAAGATGATATGTCGAGATGATTGTGACTCAGATAAATACGATGATCTACCAACCTCTGGTATCTCTCGTGATCAACTGATTCTCCTGTCTTTGCACTCAATTTTCTTTTCTGAACAATGGATGAAACTACAGGCTTACAACCCAGCATGCATCTCTATGAGCAAGTCTAGCACACACTTCCTCTGAGATATAACAATCAACTTTGTTCCATGAGTCACCTCAATCATAAGAAAGTATCTAAGCTGACTCATGTCCATCTCAAATTCATTGCCTAATATTGTCTTTAGCAGTGCATCTTTATCACCAGTGACTATCATATCATCCACATACACGACCAGTATAGTTGTGTGACCACTATTTCGTCGAACGAACACTGTGTGATCGACATTGATCTGTTGATCGCCCATGCCTATCATTACTCTCCCAAACTTGTCAAACCAAGTTCGAGGTGACTTTCAAACAGTACAGTGACTTCCTCAGCCTACATACATTGTCCATTGTTTGGTTTGTACTGAAGCCTGGGGGTATCTCCATGCACATCTTCAACAGCTCCCCATGAAAAAATACATTCTTCACATCTAGTTGGTGTAATCTTCATCCACCATTCACAGCCAGAGAGAAGAGAGCCCTAACTATGCTCATCTTTACCACTGGTGCAAACGTCTCATCATAGACAATACCATATGTCTGATTATAGTCTTTCACCATCAACCGTACTTTGTAGCAAACAATATTTCCTTCTGAGGTCTACTTCACAATGAAGACCCATTTGCACCCTACCATCTTCTTCTCTGTTGATAGTAACACGACCTCCCACATTTTATTCTTCTCGAGAGCACCAAATTCCTCTATCATTGCAACCTTCAACATTGGACCCTTCTTAGCTACCTACAAACACTTGAGTATAGAGACAGTGTCGAAAGATGCACTGAATGCTCCATATACAGATGATATGTTAGTGTATGAGAAAAATTGAGCAATCTCATGTGAGAAACTAAAATGATCATAAGAATGACCCACATTAATGTAAGAGGTCCTCCTTAAAGCCATAGGAGTGAGAGGAAAAGGGAGAGGAATCATATCACCTCTGTAATCTAATTTTGAGGATGGTGCGGGCGTATTAAGAGTCGGGGTGAATTGAGACAAGGGATTTGATGGCACGAGTGGCACAGCAGACATTGTTCCCTCATTCTGCCTCTTCCTCATTGCATACACTCTCGACTCACCTTGAACTTGAATCCTACAACCATCGGGCCCATTCTTCTCATTGTTTGACTCTTCCTCGGCTTCATTTTTCTCATTTCCTGGCTCTTCCTCAGCAGATCCTTCCCACACAACAGGACAAGTCATCGTTACAACATGTACCAATCTCTCAGTATCACTACTCTCCCCTCTCGCCTCAAACCTCCAAAATCTGGCAAGTCATCAAAGGGTGAGGTGAGGTCACATCCAAGAAATAGTATCATTCAAATTCTCTAAATGTCACATCCATACTCACAAACAGTCTCTTCTCTATTGAGCTCCAACAAATATATCTCTTCTGAGTAGCAAAGTAACTCTTAAAACATGCTTCACAGCTCTAAGATCCAACTACCGTATTGAATGTCAATCGTCTTTCACAAAACATACACAACAAAATACCTTAATATGAAGGATCTTGCTATTATCCCCCTTTAAAAAGTCACAAAGAGATTGCCACTCACACCGCTCTTGAGGGCATTATGTTGATCAGTTGAGCGGCTGTCAAAACTCATTGCCCCCACAAGTGCTTTGCGACATTCATCGAGATCATCATGCTACGGGATACCTATAGGTGTATTTTTCCTCTCTACTATTTCATTTGTACCAATATATATGGACATGTTGTTTGATGTTTGTATCCCTTGGGTTAACAGGTACTCATCAAACGTCTTGTTGGTATACTATGTAACATTATCAGACCTCAAAACATTCACTACTACACTGTATTGAGTATCCATAGCCCTGTGAAAGTCTTTAAAGAAAGCAAACACATTATTATTGTTCCTCATCAGATATAGCAAAGTAACACGAAAAAAACAATCAATGAACATCACAAAATATTTATAACCATTCATCGAAGTTTTAGAACATGGTACCCATACATCTAAATGCTTCAAATAAAAAACATAAGAACCCTTACCATAACTCACATAAGAGCTCCTAGTATTCTTACCAAACTCACAAGCATCACATAAGTTTTTATTTATTTGTCTTTCATACAAAGACAAATACAAATAACTCAACAAACTAAACGAAGAATGTCCTATTAGGAGAAACTACTTCGAAAAAATCTCCTAGTTTCACCACGGAATAGAATCACATGATTCTAGAAAATTGAAACAACAAATTTAAGCACACAAGCAAAATCAAAACAACCTGAAAAAACACATGATAAATTTGTGGAAAAATCTGAGAAAGGAAAAAAAAACTATGGAGCCACAACACCACAAATTCACTATGAAAATCAGATAGTTTTATAAAAGACTCATAAAAGATTATTCTCCACACTCACAAAAAGAAACTTATAAAAAATTCCACAATCTTCCTTCTTCGACCCGACGCAAACAACACACGCCAAAATTTCAGAAATTCTCCCCTCCAACTCTTATCTTTTCACCAGAAACTTGTTGAAGAACACCAGAGGAAGTCTGACACCCAGCAATTTATTATGCTGCAAGAAATTGGTTTAAAAACATAGAAAGTGGAGTGACTGCACCGGGTGCAAAAGCGCTGGTCTCTCGGGTAAGAAACAATCACGCCTAGTAAATATGGGCGCAAAGGGACTAAAGGGGGGCGCAAAAACGCCCCCTGCTCTGTCGAGCACAAAATCATGGGCGTAAAGGCACCCCACGCGCCCTTCAGAAGCAGCGTCTACAAGGTGGGCACTTGCGCTTAAGCTTGGCGCTTAAGCTCCGGGTCATCGGTCTTTCTTGGGTATTTTGGCTCCACGGGACTAACAATCTCCCACATGGAGACAATAGCACCAAGCACCAGTTCTCTGTACCTGCACTTCCATATGAATTGTCTTCATAGTCACTTACCGTGATTACGTACAGTAGTATGACTCATCCCCGATCTCAACTTTCATGAAACTCATTTGAAATCAAGCACAACTTCAATTTTTCAACAGTCACCACCTTAGTCAACATATCCGCAAGAGTCTAAGTTGTGTAACTTCTAAAGGAATAACTGTCCATGTTCAAGAAGAGAGCGAATGAAAAAATACCTCAGTTGAATGTATTTCGCCCTAACATGAAAAACAGCGTTCTTACCAAGATGAATAATACTCAACTGTC